AAAATGAAACCCACATGAGGCAGGTGGCTCAGCACGTGGCTGTTCCAGTGAGGTTTGCCTAGACAGAGGCACTCAGCTCTTCCTTGGGTTATTTCCCAGCCTCTGCCTGCTCAGGGCCTTTGAAAGGTGCTCTTGCTGCTTTTTGGCTGTGGTGATTGATAGGGAATCCTTTGTGCAGGGAGATTTCTGCTGTGGGAAGAAATCAGAGGCCAATGCTGTTGCTTGCCAGGCATAAGCCTTTCAGGCTGAAACCTGCTTTGATCCAGGCACACACCAGTCCCCAGGGGAACTGCAGTGTGTGAAGTTCACAGGCTGGAGAGCAAAATTCTGTAGATTTCACTGAGCAGACAAACCCTCTGTCTTTTAAGAAGAGTTCTGGCCTTTGTGCCTGTGTGTGGCTGTTGTGTGAGCCAGTGGCTTGGAAGGCTGGTTGGAGTGGGGAGCATGGGGCTCTCACCAGTGAGTCCAGCAGCTGAAGGCAGAACCCTGCAGGTGCTGGAGCAGGATATGGAGCAGGTGTTTGTTTCCTCTTGGAGTGGAAACTCAGTCCTGGGAGGAAGCAGGAGGGAGGAGAGGCCTGGGAGGGACAGCAGTGTTACCACCTTAGCAGCCAGGTAACCTCCAGACTCAGTGTGGGAGCCCTTCCAGCCTGGATCTTGCCTAACTGACTGAAACCCAGGGCTACAGCCTTCTTACCTTTTGGTAGTGTTTCTATTGTCAATAAAAATCACTTTGAGTTGAGCTACTTGTCCAACTCCCCTCTTATCCAAAAGCTGACCTGTGAGATCCTGGCCCAAAATGAAAGGGGAGAGTGTAGGTGGGAGAAAAAGGGAACAACATGCTTGCTCCACATCAGCTCCTGGCCCTTTTGAACACCAGCAGAACTTGCCTGGCTCCCTCCTTGTCACCTCTGAGAGGTCATGGGGCCTGCCAGGCAGTCACAGCCTGCAGCAGTGGAAAATTTGGTTCCTGAGTATCCTCTAAAGCTCTCCTGAAACTCTTGTCAGTTCAGTGCTAATTGCCCCACAACGTGCCAATTACTAAAGAGAGAGGCCTCAGACTGTCCACAGGCTCTTCAGAGCACAGTCTGTTTTCCTTAGCAGCTACTAGTCAAAAATGGAACCTGAGGGCATCCTCCTTTCCTCTGAGGAATGGGGTCTGACCAGGGCTCTGTGTAATTCTGAGGCAAGCTGGCCAGGATCTTGGCTTGGGCTCCTTGCTCAGGGGTCCCAGCGTGTCTGTGGTAACAGGAACCATCTTTGGACTGTGTGAGGCAGCCCCAGGTGGAGCTAAGCCTGAGGAACACAGCAGTGAAGAAGTATGCATGAGCTGGGACTGATGCCTTGCTGAGAACTTCCCCAGGTGCTGATCAGGGATGAGCACGAGGTGGAGTCACCCCCACAGGTTCTTGGTGCCTCTCCAGTGAACGTGTAGCAACAGAAGTTGAGCTGTGCTTAGCAGAGGTTCCTGAAAAGCTCCCACTGGTGCCTCAGGAGCTATGTAAGGTCTGCAGGTGCCTGGCAGCAAGTCTGAGCTGTGCATGGGGAGAAGCCTGTGGGAGCCCCAGGCTGAGCTCCTCTGTGCAGGCAGCAAGTGTTCCTCAGATGCTGGTGAAGGAGTGAGACTGAAGAAGACTTGGTTTCCCACTCAAAGCCCACCATATTGTAGTCATGGGGCTCCTCATTTGTCTCTTCTCATACGCAGCTGGTTTGGGGGAGTGAGGGGGTTTGGCATGAGGGAGGAAGGAGTCATTGTGGGGTAGGAGCTTTGCTTTGTGGCTGTGAAGGTGTGTCAGAGAGCTTCCAGGAGGAGATGGGCTGCCTGAGCCCTGAGGACAGAGCTGGGGGCTGCTGCTGCACTGAGATACCTCGTGTTGCTGGTGATTTTCACACGGTCAGGGGTACATGAGCAAGCAGGCAGGTTTAAAAAAGTGTGACCATGGATTTCTGTTTGGTCCTGACCAAACAGGACAGGCCTGGCTTCATCTGCCTGAGCTGCAAGTGACTGCAAGGTGGTTTTCTTAGACCTCTGGTCTGGATGGAGAGCTGACCTGGGGCAGTCTGAAAATAGCAGCTCAAAAGATCAGCTTTCAGCTTTTATGCAGGGAGAGGCAGCATGTTGCATCTCTGCTATTCTTTATTCTTAATATATGCTCTCTTTTTTCCTGTCATGCATCTCCATGGCTCTCCAGAGCTTCTCCAGTGTTGGTTGCTGTGAGCACACAGCACCACAGGCAGGGGATAGAAGACTTGTGAATGCAGCAGGTGAATTGGTGTAATCCTGGCTTGTTTTCCTGGTGTAGACTGGTTTGGGCTCCTGGTGCTGTAAGTGCAGCTCCTCCAGCCTTCCTGGCACTCCCCATCAGCATGTTTACACCCCTCACCCAACCCTGCTGTGGTGCATGTCATGCAGGCAGTCTCTGACCTCCACTCTCTCCTCTGCACTTTCTTTCTAGGAGGTTCCTGATTTGCTGTCACTTCAGATAATTCACTTCCATCCCTTGCCTTCTCAGCTATAGAGGGAGGATTGTGCCTCTCTGCTGAGCTGAGGAGCTTTGAGAGCCCCACAAAAGGAGCTAGATACAGGCTTGCTCTATTCATTGTGCCTGACAACTCAGTAAATAAAACTTCCCTCAGTTGCCTGCTCTGTAATTCACACATAAAAGACCTGTCACTCTGATCTCTCCCACACCCTGCTTGAAATGGGAAGGATGGAGTGAGACCTTCTAGGAAAGCAGCACAGTTTCAGAGCAGTACAGAACAGGCTTGGAGGTGAAGGTGTTGTCATAAATAACACACAGGGAAAGCAGAGACCATGGGGTGGCCCTGGCCATTGTCACAGCCTTCCAGAATTGAACATGGATCTGGTGACACTTGATAAGCCTTCTGGATCCTCAGAGGGTTGTAGGAGTATGCTGGCTTTTCCAGAGAAAGGCAGCAGTTCAGCCACTGGGGAGCCTGGTTTTTCCTCCTTGGGTTTGAGAGGAATTCATAAATGTTTATCATCTCCTGGTATCTAGGTATTTATACCTTCAGCTGCAAAATGCATCCTAATCATGGTGCTTTAAGGCTCTGTCTCACACTGCTGGCTGGCCTGAGCCCTGGGGGGCAGCCCCTGTCTCTGTGGGCTCTTGCAAAGTCTCCACAGCATCAAAACTGAGTTTTAAGGTTCATGTCCTCTCTGGTCACCTCTGCCAGCCCCATCTTCACATCTCTGCTGTGATGCTCAGTTCTGCAGTTCTCAGTTGACTCTGCACCTTGGGCTTTTCCCACAGTTTTTCCTTCCTCCCCCTCCTGGACACAGGCTGCCCAGCCCTCCTGCTCCTTGCTGACAGAAACCAGAAGCCTCAGATGCAGAAAAGCTTCATGTTGCCATCTCCTTCTAGTGTGCTCCACAAAGTGTGCTTAGGCTGGAGGAACCTGGAGCTTTCCAACCTCTGCCTACGTCCCTGGTGATTTGTAACCTGTCTGTGTTCCAGAGCAGCTGAATGTCCTCACAAGTCCAGAATCCTGTTCTTCAAGCAAGGATTCTCTTTGCCTCTGTGCCCACTCTGTTAACTGTTTTCCTTGCCAGGACTTCCTACTGAATCAGCAACATCCAGTGCCCCCATCTCCTCTGGCACTGTCTCCAGTGCTGTTATTTGTTGAGAAATAAGAATCAGCACCACCTGAGCTGCTTCTCAGGGCATCCTGTGTGACATCCCAAGTTGACTTAAGGAAAAACTCAGCCTAGAGTTCCTGGTGTGTCCCTGGGGCCTGTCCCCAGGCTGCCTGCTTAGTGGAGCACAGTGACAATCAAGTTTGAACAGTCAACAAGGCTTTGAGCTGTGTGTGGTGGCTGGAGGGCAGTGCCTCCCAGCCTCACCATGTGAAGCTCTGCTTAGGAAGTGATGCTGAGTGTGCAGAAGAGTTGACATCCCATTGCTGGGACCAGCTGTTGGAAGTGGTTTTTTATAAAGCTGGAGCTAGACCTGTCTCATCACTGTGCTGGGGAGGTGGTTGTTTCTGCAGTGGAAGACTCTTGGGCAAGGGATCTCTTCACTTCCTCTCTGGTTTGGCTCTGAACACACAAATGGTAGCTCTGCAACAAAGGCTTTGGTGGTAAAACCAGCTTCAGATGTTCTCACCCTGCTTTGCTGTCCCTCCTCTCCTGTGCCAGAATTGCACATCCAGCTCAGAATTCACCTTCCTGAAAGGGGTGAAAACTTGATCTTGTTTTGCCACTGAAGCCCCCTCTGTAGTGATGGTCAGAGGGCAGTGAAAGGTTCCCCTTAGAGTGACAGCTCTAGGTGGGATCTGGGGGCAGAAGATGATGGTGGCTATGGTCCTATTCCAGAGATGTTTGTCCCAGCTTGAAATGCCACGGTTTCAGTGCTGGGCCTCAACAGAGTGGAAGAATTATGACTGTTCTTGAGATGGCCACCTTGGAGGACTGCTTGGTGTCTCTCATGGTGTTGGTAGCCCTGCAGCACCTCTGAGGAGGAACACAGGAGAGAACTGGGGTGGTTTTTGGTTACCAGGTTGATGGGGAACCAGGGACTGTTCCTCCCTGCAGACCTGGCCCGTGGAGGCACAGCAGAGCTTTCAGCCCCCTCTTGGGTTGGGTGTTGCCACTGTTAGGTCCTTGCTCCTTCTTCCTGGCTTTCCTGCAGAAAATGAGTCTTGTGTGCTGGGCTGAAGGCAGCATTGCCTAGGCCCTGGATTTAGGGAGCTAACCTTTCCCAGGCTGCTGCACCCCACTGGCACCCAGTGCTTCCAGGCAGCTCCCTGTGGATCCCATCAGGCCTTGCCTGTCTGTGCTGCTTTCCCTTCCCTGTGCTCGCCTTCTGGCTTTGACCTCTCCCTGCCCTTCTTGTCCCCCCACTGATGGCTGCCAGCTCCTGCCAGCTCTGTCTCTCAGAGCTGCCACTTGTGATTCTTGAAAGGTGGACAGGTGGGAAGGAAGGAGGGCCCAGCAGAGCAATCCTGTGTTCCACCAAGTTTTTTCTCCCTTCTCTTCAGATACAGCACAAAGAATCCCTCTCTGCAGTCGGAGACGGTTCATTACAAGAGGGGGGTGAGCCAGCAGTTCTCCCTGCCTTCCTTCAAGATTGATTTCTCAGACTGGAAGGATGATGAGGTAAGGCTCTTCTCAGTGTCCCCGTCTTTCATGGAACCATGAATTGTGGAATGGTTTGGGTTGGAAGGGACCTTAGGGATCATCTATTTCCAACCCCCTGCATGGGCAGGGACACCTCCCACCAGCCCAGGTTGCTCCAAGCCCCATCCAACCTGCCCTTCAACACTGCCAGGGATGGGGCAGCCACAGCTTCCCTGGGCAACCTGGGCCAGGCTCTCACCACCCTCACACCAAAGAATTTCCTCCTCATGTCCAACCTCAATCTCCCCTCTTCCTGTTTGAATCCATTTCCCCTTGTCCTCTCCCTCCCTGCCCTTGTCCCAAGTCCCTCCCCAGCTTTCCTGGAGCCCCTTCAGGCCCTGGAAGGTGCTCTAAGGTCTCCCTGGAGCCTTCTCTTCTCCAGCCTGAACACCCCAACTCTCCCAGCCTGGCTCCAGAGCAGAGCTGCTCCAGCCCTCTGAGCATTTTTGTGACATCCTCTGGTAGCCGTCCACATGCAACATCTCTCAAAAGGAAGGAAGCAACATCTCTAAAAAGATGAGATAAAATAAAATAAACCAAGAGACATTTCTTTCCACATTCCTGTAGTCCTAGAAGCACTGGACTCCCTTTAATGCCATGAAGTTATGGCTGGAAGACACCCTCTCCCAGCCTGCATGTGAGTGTTGTGTCTGTGAGTGGTGAGAGGTAACTACCTAGGAAAAAAAAAAGCCAGAAGGAAAATTAAGAAGAAAAAAAGAAAAGAGAAAGTAATCTTTGATGTATTTTGAAGAGATTGAATAGCTGCTGTCTTGAAGTTACAGTCATAACTATCATCAGTCCCGTGCCTTAACAAATGCCGTGGTGGTTACCAAGAGCCTGCAGAGTCTGGTCTCCTGATGTCTTGGCTTCTCTGCCAATGTATGATTTCACACGTTCAGCATACAAAGCCTGGAAGAGCTGCTTCTCAGTCCCTTCTGTCATCTGAGAGAGCTGGGAAGTTGGAACTCAGATCTCTTTCTTCTTAAAGAACAGAGAAGCTTAATTCTCACTTCTGTTCCTTCCAGCAAGGTTTTAACTCAGGTACCAAAGTCATGTCCCTTTGACAGCTTAAAAAGAGAGATGCTGCAGAAAAATAAGCTGCTAACCCTCTTTGCTTAATTCTGCTGCATCTTCTCTCCTCTCCTTCATTGTCTTTACAGGGAGAAAATGTGGAGCAACACTGTGATTGGGAAGAGTTTCTCCCATTTCAGCTCTGTGCAGTCAGGTCCAGTCAAATGCATCTGGAGAAATCTTAGTTAATCACTGAAAGGCAGCACTTTTATCTGAGGCAGCTGGCAGAGCTTTATCCCTCAGCCCTGCACAATTGCACACCTCAGATTGCTTTTCAGCTTTGTGACTGGTCTTGTCCAAAAAAAATCCAGATTGACTTCATGTTTTTGCTCAGTGTAAGACTCACAGATGATGTAGCTCTTGGCTGGCCAACAGAAGGGGAAATAATTGTGTGGGCTTGTTACTTGGAAAGCTTTCTAAAAGTGTGTCTTCATGGTGTATTGGTTTGTTTGCACGTGATGGTGTTTGGCTCCTGTTGAGAGAGTTGGTTTTAGGTGCCTAAAAATCAATGTAAAATGGAGCCTTAAAGAGGCCTTTTTGTTTGAGAATGCAAAACTTTACATGGTAAAGTAACCATGGTTCTGGGATGTGACTTTCCCTTTAAATGGACCAACAGGAACTGTTGTTGTACAGTAATAAATCAGAGCAGGAAGCAAAGCAAAAACCATGGGCTTCTCTCAGCATTTTAAATCAATTTGTCCTCGATGAATTTTCCCGTTGTGGTTTGCCATGATGGTCCAAAAATGCAAGCTGGATAAGAGTGGCTGAGTGAGTCTCTGCTGTAACAAATGCTGAGAGGTTAGATGAGATTTTTGGGTTTGTTACTCGGCTGCTTTGGAAAGAGAATAGAGGTTGGTAGTTTAAAGGAGGAATAAAATGTAAAACCATCATTATGAGACCCCACAGGGACAACTGTGTTCAATTCTGGAGCCCCCAACATAAGGATGTGGAGCTCCTGGAGAGAGTCCAGAGGAGGTCAGGAAGATGATCCAAGGGCTGGAGCAGCTCAGCTCTGGAGCCAGGCTGGGAGAGTTGGGGTGTTCAGCCTGGAGAAGAGAAGAATCCAGGGAGACCTTAGAGCACCTTCCAGTGCCTGAAGGGGCTCCAGGAAAGCTGGGGAGGGACTTGGGACAAGGGCAGGGAGGGAAAGGACAAGGGGGGATGGATTAAAACTGGCAGAGGGGAGATTGAGGTTGGA